GTGTGTGTGTGTGTGTATATATATATATATATATATGTGTGTATATATATATATATATATATGTACACACACCTGTATGGATATATCTATACAAACATATGAATCATATGAATTTGCTACATGTATCGAACTTTCATTCACCTGTATATATAATGTGATATATACATATATTTAACTCCATATAATTGAATATAAACATTTATAGAATTACATGTAAACTAATACAGACACATGTACGTTCCACTACACCAGTCTCGTATATGTGCCGAGCACAAACACAATATGGGCCAAAACCCGCCTGAAACCATTCATATACACACCGCTACAAACAGCCTAGAGCTTGCGAAGAATCACACCGTGCATAGCCAGAACCCTCATAATAAAACACAGCACTGGTTACATTCTGTTTAAGGTGGGCTGGTGTATGTAGGTAGAAACCGCAACGGCTCAGCACAATCACTGGCAACGCCATACTGAGGCACGATGCCTACAGTGTTTGATCGAAAAATGCTCGCACACAGCTATACTATATTGCCAATAGACTATCACTACGTCTTAGTGACACAGCAGAGAGTGTCTGATACCACCATTTGTGCAGGATGTAATTTCACACACGGGCTGACAATACAAGCGCATTTTCCCAATCGAATCGAGAAACATACATCACGAATAGATACACGTTAAGGTACGGTCAGAGTTTGTCATGCTTAACCATGCCCATATAAATAGACGATAAATTATGGTAGGATTATGCTATGCTTACCCATGCCGTATGTCCACTCACACGCTAGATTCAAAAGCTCAGTTCCACATGCCTCGTCGAAGTGCGTGTTTGTATGGGACGCACACGCTTCCAGGGCATAGGCGTCATGCGTGCTGGACGAAGGTGCACTTGTCTTATCGGGACCATCTATCGCAGTTTCACGTTGACTGACTTTGTACACCACAGTTCCCCCTACCGAGTCCACGGTCGCAAACAGGGCCGCCACAGCTGCTCCGACAACGAGGTGTGTAAGCGTACGGTATGAGGTCGATGTATAGTGGTGTGCGATTGAACGGGATGAATAGCGACAGCCCAAGTTTAGATAGGCAGAAAATACAATAGAGATCGTAACAGAATTGTATACAATTTTGAAGATTGGCAAATACGATTCAAGCTAGGCAGCTGGCGATTTGGCCGTAAATGTAGTTGAGGCGATCTTCAATAGATAAGTAGTACGGGCGAATCAAGCTCGAGAAACGGTCCAAGTTTTGAGTGTAGTGCTTTGTGTACGCAAGTTCAATGGAGCGAGTAGATCTTGAACAGCGCACGAGGTCTTCAAACACTGCTTGCCACAGATACATGCGGGCGCAAATTTAACACAGGACGGGCAAAATCTGGGCACAGCAACAACGTTATTAAATATCTCAATGCGAGTTAGTACGCCTGCGTGATACGTAGCGGATTTTGGTATATTCTCTGCTCTTCTCACGCGTGCCGCTGGTCTTTTGCGGCCCATACGAGCCTTTATTGGGGGTGTCTGTACACAGAGAGCACACTTAGCAAGCGAGGGACGCTCCAGCTCGGACCATACATCCCATCAACTCTCGTCTAACTAACCCATTTTCTGCTGCATTATACATTGGCACTATCACCATTTCAGCAGTTGGCTTAGTTGTCAAGCTCGCCACACGACAGTTAGGTTTCAACTTGTGTCTGGTCTTGTATGCATTTCATCACCAGCCCTGGAAGTGAGCTGTAGCCGCACTTTGGCTCGAGGCTTATTCAGAGGCCGTCAATACGAAACTTGAACTATACAACGATGTGCTTGGCAATGTAGGTCTAGTTACCCACGTGGGTGTACCGATAGCGTTCCATCGCAATGTATTGTCTTTCAGTACAGCACAGATACAGCCAAGCATTAATCGCAAGCGTGATCGCAGATTGTTCTCTCGTAATTGCCCATTCACCCAATCGACCACAATCGTGACAGTGACTCATTCAAGCACAGACGTGCTTGTGTGCACAAACCTGACCTCCACCATCGCTGGCCCCACCGGTTTGATGTGTGTGGTCAAAAACGGCACAGAGAGGGCACTATGTTCGTTCTGACAAGCATGTAGGGCAAGTATCGAACAATAGAACACCCACAAATGCGAGAAATGCACCTCGAATGTGATTTTCTGAGCCTTTACCGGGGGTCGGTGGAGTGTCGGTGGAGTGAACTTTGGATACGAACAAAGATCACACATCTGTCACCTGCATGGCAGCTGTATATATCTTGTGAGTGTTGCCAAAATTTGGGAAACAGAATAATAGATGCGCAAGTTTGACCACAAACTGAGTAATAAATTGCCGATACTCATACGTATACTTCTATAGCGGCTCATCACTGACATTCAGAAGTCTTAGCTATGAACTAGATATTAGGCTGTTTCAATAACTACCACTCATAGTCATATCCAGACTTACAAACATAACTCACAAGTACCACCTAGTGATCATTTTGCAAACAAATACAACCAACAAATATACCGATGCGTATAGCCCACAATGGAAATAGCGCCGACGTGATTGATTGGTCTCCTCTCCTCAAAACTGTAAATGTGTGATATAAACCGTTCCAAATAAAAACTATAGGTGCTGAGGCCAACCCGCACATAAACACGTGTCAACAATACTACAACCGGTTATATGTATTCACAACACCAACCTCCATTATGATTCGAGGCTTCCCGGCGCCACTTTACGTCTAGGATGGCATTGGCATCGCACCTGGCAACTTCATTCAGTACAGAGTCATCGTGATTTAACGCATACATTAAGCAACGCCCGGCTCGATTCTTTGAGCTCGCTTCTTCTGCGCTCTCACTATGAGGATGATCTGTACTCACTGCGTCACAGTCAGGGTTATCTGTGGTATTACTCGCACTGTTAACTGTTTGCTCTGACTCCTGCAGTAACTGGTAGGTGCCACACACGAGTACGTCAGCGAGTTCTGGTATAGGGCACCATTCGACCGTATCGGCCGAATAGATTGTATCAATGGTTTTATGAGTTTTCACAGCCATTCTGAAGACTCTCAGACTGGTATACAGGATTCGTTGTTCGAGCGATACTGATCGCTGCGTGATGTAGGTGCAGTCTATGTATTCGCTTCTGTATTATAATACCAAGGTGTATCCCACTTACACTACAGCAAAGCAATGAGGTTGTCGAGGTAGTGCTACCACAAAGCTTCCAAAACAACACGTATTCACATGGCTGTGACAATTCATCAGACTATACTTATCACAATTTTTTTGAATCCTTTTTATTGCCATGATATTTCACATCTATGGCATTCCAATCACAGAATCACTGGCCTTTTTCGAATTTTATACAATTTTGGCGGCTTCTAAGGAACACGGAGCTATGTATTGAGTCTTGACCGAGTCAGACACCTCGACCCTTTCTGCTAACATATAACAGCAAACGCATTGATATAAAAGCATACTGGAGAAGTGCAATAATATGCGCCAAAGAGGAGCCCGTACATAATTTTACATGATACCACTCGGGGCATATTTTTGAGTGTGAATAATAGCTGGAAACCACACCATGGAGCTGTCATGTCTAGATGATTAAACGTTTATGTGTCAGTCAGGGTGAGCTTGCGACCAACGCATGGTTAACGCAGCAAGTCCGCCTAAACGAGACTCGCCGCCAAGCTATCTCTCTCAGTATTACTACTATAAACATTTTCCAGACTGCGAACCACATTTCTTTCTCAATTTGGAGGTCTTTCAATACCAGCCCATTGTCGTAAGCGTTCCTGTTCGACGCAAGTCATGAATTAGATATATATTTGGAATTAGACACAGTTTGACTGATAAATACGAAAATATATATAATGATTCGAAAGCTATCCTCGAAATGTGGTATAAGCAGTTAACTCGAAAGTATAAAGCTATGTGTATTTTGAACTCAGGAAATCAACTCGTCCCGGGCAAACATCGGAGGTGATCCCAACTTTGAATAATACTGGCATGCTATTTTGAAACGTATCAAGCGCACTCACCCTATTTTCCTGTCCTCGTTCGCCATACATGTTATACCCAATGTATAAGTTGATGCTCGCTGTCCCAAAGAACCAGACTGCAAGCACAGGCAGCTTTCCATACGTATTCGGATTCATAACTGGAAAACAAAATCGGGAAGCATGACGGCTTCAATGTTAGTCCAAATAGAGATGAAAATGATCTAAGGATAAACAAAAGCAGTATGCACATACTCGCATAAATTAGCTTCCTTGGATATATTTGAAGGATTGGCTCCTACAAAGATACTACTGAATAAAGACCACCGACCATACTATTCTTCCAGAGACTGAACAAAGCTGTAAATTTAAAAGGGGGAGGGGGGAGGGGTTAGACTTAATTGATAGCACGCTTCGTCATAAACTCTCTCGAGTCTCGTATCATACCTCAAGAGATATTCAGAATTCACTCTGTCACGCCGTAGGGGCTTTATTTGATGTTTGTAGCAATCGAGAAGAGCAGTTGAACATTGCACAACCGATATTTTGACAATATGTGTGATGTCAGTCGAGGAGTCGAGAGTCGAGGCTCGAGTCTCGAGACTCAATACTCGAGACTCGAGACTCTCATCACACGAAGTGAGTCAACAAAATATTTACACAGCCGAATGTCCCACTCCCCCCAGGGACAATCAGGACATGGTAGCCAAGAATTATTCTGTGCCCTACTGCGACGGCCCCATATTCAGAATTCCTGGTGCAGGGCTACATGGGGATCTATGACATCTGGTAAAAAAATTGCTGGCCAATCATTATGCCCGATAGTCTAAGCCAATGCGGATAAAAGGGAATGCAAAAGCAAGTTACGTAACAAGAATTTTAACTGTTTGAAGAATTCCCATTGGTGCAAGACATGTACACACCGCAAATCTGCAATGCTTTACAAGTTTACAACTACTTTTTCAACTTCTCTAACAAATATCTCGCTTAATTTGGACGTATTTTATGATGAATTTTTATTATTATAGTAGGCTGACGATCACACAACTCGCATGTGTATAAGCTGTATGACATGATACCTCACGAATTGACTGATTACAACACCAGATATACCTAGTAGTGGTAGTGGGGTTGTGTATGGTCATTAAGTGCTATTGAGTTGTGTGGACTTGTGTAGACAGACACGGGGTAAAGCATCTGACGACGTCCACACATAATTCCGCCCGCTGCAATTGTATTTGAATTTCCGTGTTTGATCTACGATACAGAGTCCAATATAAAGACAATCGCTTACGTACAGCACATAGTATACGATTGACATCTGTGTGCAGGCACGCACAAACCGACAATCTCACCGTTGATGCAGCCATGAGGCTGATCATGCTGGTGACGTTTCTGGTTGTATATGTTTGCTTTGGCAGCGCAGTGCTAGCGCAGGATAATATTCCAAAATACAAAAGTAATGACAGTCCAGAATTTGATACCAATATAGATGTACAACACGATGAGAATACTGATCGCGTAGATGACAGAAGGTATGTGCGTAGGCAAGCACATGCGTCCACAGCAGATGCCCCTACAGACGTTTTAGATTCTAGTAGCACCTTGAATAACACTCTGGGCTTGAATGATACGTTAGGCACTAATAGTACGTTGAACAGTACTCCTATTCTTAATGAAACACTGGAAACGAATGGCACATTACCAGCGAATAGTAGCGCAGCCATCAATATCACTCTACAGTCCAATACCGAACTAGTAGCAAGTAGCAATGCAGCAATATCATCTTCTGTAGCTGTTTCACTTGCTATATCAACAACGGCAACAACATTTGAAACGACAACGTTAGTATCGTCAGCAACAGTAAATACAACATCAACGTCGTCTGCAAACGTTAATTCAACAGCAACACAAAGTGTGGCCGTTAAGGCGGCCACGGTTAACACCCTTACGGCACCGACGAACAGTTTGGCAACAACTGTATTACCACATATACTTGATGAAACTACCACCGCAACACCAGCCTTTACACAGCCTGCTGCCGTTATATCAGAGACAACTGAAGCCGTGCCTTTAGTGCCTGTAGTTGTACCAACAACCTTTGAGGAGCGGACGATCTATTACGGAGATTTGCTAACCACGGTAAATTATTTTGAAGTGGCCAATTACACATCCCATTTTGAGTTGCTCAGCGTGCAGAACTACGACGATACAACACCCGTATTAGAGCTCATGGGTGCGGTGCTAGCAGTCCCGGCTGGCTCGCCCGACTATGTGACCCCTATGCAAGTCTACGCGGATGCCTGTGGAGCGTTCTGCACTAACCATACGGGTGGGTGCAATGGTTTTGGGATTCGATTCGTCGAGCAATCACAAGACAACGTGTGTGTCTTGCTCAATTACACGCTCCTGTATGCTATGGAAGGCTTCTCGTGCGACGCTCTCTGTCCCTCAGGGAACGGTATCATGATGAACATCTTCTATCCCAATCTGCCCGCATGCACGTCTTCCGATTTCTTCGGCTGGCAGAATGCCGGGGAACTCCAAACCAATCTTCTAGACCACGGATGCAATCCCTATCTAGCAATTGGTGAAAAATGCTCGTCCATATTCGCGTCCTGGGTGCAGGTGCCGGGTATTGATCTAACGGGCTGTCCAGTGAACTCAACTTGTGCCGATGGGCGCATACCCTATGCGAAGTCGTGCGAGACGGACGATAGTCTCGAGGATTACATTAATGCGGCGATCTATCAAGAAGAGCTGCGACAGAACTTCAGCACTGACTATGCGAACGGTTTGTACGACCAAATGCTTGGTATGGGAGAGTGGACGGGTAAAGTTATCCCGCCAGTAGGCTATAGTATGCCGCTACCGGATACATTGCTGTCTTTAACCCAACAACAGTACGACTTGACGTGGCCGTTGCCGAGCGTTCCGGGCGAGAATGCGATTGATAATATCAACGACTACTCACAAGCGTGCGCCTTGCAATGCAGTGCGAATACTACGTGCATAGGGTTTACGGTTGTATATATTCCCAACGATCCACGCAATCAGTGCCGTTTTGTGCCCAACGATGCCGTGCCGCCGGGAAAAAGCTGGGAATTCACGGCCCTGAGATGCAGCACTAGCGACCCCTGCCCGAGTGGGAACAACATACCCATGCGACTGTACATACCGGATTCGTATAGTCACTGTGGTGAGGATATGTTCCTGGGCTACGACTTGGGTCTGTACAATCAGATCAAGAACTACAACTGCCACAATCAGCTGGTAATAGGTGCTGACTGTGGAATAGATGGACCGCAGACAGATGTGACCAACTACAATGCGGGGTGCAAGGACAGGATGAAGTGTACGAACTACTCGCCATACTACAAGTGCCAGCTAGAACTCTACAACCCGTTCAACGACGCCGCGTCCATCAGTAACTTAGTGGGCGACATTGTGGTGCCAAATAAGAAAGTCTCGTTTCTGGCCACGTTTCCTCTGACGAGAGAAGGCACGGTAGTCACTGTGGGAGCCCAGGCGGACTCGACTGTATACTCGAACTACGGAGACTGTGCGAGAGCGTGTGCCGCCGCACCTCCCTGTGAGATATTCCAACTGACCGTGGCAACGAGACAGTGTGACCTGACACCCTACACATATGATGAGTATATAGAACTACCACCAGGCAACGGGACAGGCACCTTAGAGGTCCTGACGGGGCAGCTCTATCCACTCTTCAACCCTGTTGGCATCGCAACCGCAGTCGATGATTAGACCAGCCTCGTATGAACTTTACGCCTGATTAAGTGATGACCCGACACCAGTATAGGCCACATGCGCGCCTGTGTGTATAGTATATACCCGCTTGCACTAGCATACGCACGCTTGTATCAGTTGTAAATAGTTTACAACTTGGGTAAGTGCGGCTACGAGCAACAAGTAGAGCGAACAGCGTCGGTGAAAGGGTTGGGGAGTTACAGTGTGCCACAGCAATGCCCTAGAGACCTTATAATTGATGTGAATCTAAGCTCGTGCAGGGGTATGCATACTCTCAACGCATGGATACGTACAGAACTACACAGCACCTGGGTGGATGTTTGGGCCCGTCCTTGTATGTACACGCTCCTCATATACACACGCGTGCAAAACAACAAAACATATGCGGATATATTGGCACTCCCGCTCTAGGTCTATGCTCTGCATACTCTAGAATGCATGGGAAATGTCTGGGTATTTTCACTGATGCGACAGATTCATCAAACCAACATCGCAATAATACGATGAAGCTGCATGGTGTTTTACGTACGGACACCAATGGTGCTCGCAATGCCCGAATTGTACACACACGCCACCAGGCCCAGACTCCAAGTTTACCAGCAGCGACGTCTCCTGTGACTGTTAGTAGACGGAGCACCGTAAGGACTAGTAAATGGTAACGCCGATAGAGCGTCACGAGAAACACTGCAGACTACGATGACTCGAGCGGATGGGGGTCGGAAGTTGGAGGTATATACTGATCTGGAACAAATCAAATTCAATAATTTCTATCGCGTTCGTGATACCGAGGGCAATCGATTGACGAATTTGAAGGGACACCACTGGTTCTGTGACAGGTGAATAGCGTATCCTTAGATATACATCCGGAAGAAGGCAGGAGAAGTATATTTCAGCCAGAGGTTTGTTTTGTGATTTGAACATGTCAACTTGCTTGATCACTTTCTAAGCTATACACCAGCTTCACAAGTTGGTGTGGCGAGAGAATGCAGCGACCGAGAATGTTGCTAGGTTCGGGGCCTGAAGGAGGTGGTAAAATATGCAAGGCATGAAAAGTATCTGAATGCCTGTGGCAAAAGACGGGTGGCTTGCCGGTGCTAGTGCCAGAATTTTGACTTTTTAAATATCACATACGCGTACATCGCGTGTGAATGGAAGTACGGATTGGAAATTAAAGTCGATTCTACTTTTAGTTCTACAAATACTGCGACTAGTCAACAAAGAATGAAAGAAAATTTAGGTAACATCGTATCTGCTGGTCATAGTCTTGATCATCGAATGAGAGTCGAACTTTAATAGCATAATGACGAGCGTAGTGGGGACTTGCCGCTTACCGCTGGTCTCAATGTAATAAGTACAACTCGAAACTGTATATTTCGATACAACGTACGAACAAGTTTGTTTTACGAACAAGTTTGTTTGCTGCTGCTGAACTCACTACAAAGACAAACTACTAGTGAGATGTGTTCAGAATAGCCTAGAACAGATCAGTACTACTTCATAGTGATACACGCAGCGACGATGGTCTGTTGTGACAGTGAGCCAATTCTCTCGTATGTTGCGCATCCGCGCTCCTGTCCGATCGAATCTAGCCGTATATACACCCCTGCAACTTGCATTGCTGAAGTGAAGTGTTAAAGTCACTGTGCCGGGTCTTGTGCTATTCCTAACATAGAACAACACGTCAAATGCAACACTTAAACAACACTACTCGCTTATAAGACAGTGTCATACCACTGTAAGCTGTATCTGACATTGGAGTAGCACTTAACATAGCAAATCCACGCTGGTAAAAATATATACACAGGACTCTGTGCCGATTTGTAATAGGGCTTATAGAGGACCATATACTTTGGTTGTCACTGACAAGTACAAGTACGGCTGAAGGAAACGGCCACGAAACTATACTAGAAAATGAAACTCATTTAGAGGCAGGGATAATATATACAATTGCTAAATCATATACAACACTAGTCATATATATATAGAAAGTGTATGTCGAGCATATGAGTGCCAAGCAATGAGACAAATAAGACATGCGCGGAAGTGTCCACTAGAAGATACTACAACCATCCTTCAACACCCTTCAAAAACCCTAAATTATAAGAGCATTTGCTATTGGTGTTGGGTTGTTAGCTCTCCAGCAACGACAGGAGAGACTGCTATATGGCATACAACCTTGAAAGTATGTAGTGAATGATACGGCTATGCGTAATATATAGATAGTCAGATCAAACTACGCGACAGATACAACAAAACACACAGATCTATGCTTCTAAAGAGACCACTATGACCTCCAATACTACTTAATTGACCACGTTGTCCAATTACGTGTAGATTGTCAGTAGAAGCTGGCTGGGTAAGATCATACCAAGATATCTCGCTATTACACGTGATTCTAAGGAGATATGAATTTAAACACATCCCGGGTGTCAAATTGTTCGCTGAGACCGTAACATATAGCCATGAGATTGTCAATATGGCTTGAAAGTGTGGCTAATATACAGTTATGCACGTCGTCATGGGGTAACTAAGTATCATCAACGTCACCTTGGGCTTGCAGTGCTTTCACCGTAGAAGTCACACAATTTTAGTGGAATGTGAATATATACAAAATAAAATAAAAAGTCGCGTGACAAAACCTCTTGGACTCTTGGCGGAAACAAAATTCAGTAAATACAATATATTTTTGGGTCATACATATATACATGTATGTTTATATTCACTGTAGAGACCATACATAACACCTACTTTTATCTTACGTATCTTACAGTTACAGTGTGTGTCCAATACGACCGCGATGAAACACGGAGTCAAGTTCAGTAGATTAGGTAGGCCTTCGGGTCACCGTAGAGCGTTGCTTCGCAATATGGTCACATCGCTGGTCAAATTTGAGCGGATAGTAACAACTAAAGTGAAGGCACGCGAGCTAGCACGGGCAGCGGAGAAGGTGTGTGGGGTTGGCAGGAATGTATAGCTTTACGTACAGCGTGATCCTATAGTCGAGAATAAGAGAATATGATCCAATTGTGTTGCACTATGGTATCAGAGCCCAACAAACAATACCCCCTTCACTCTTCGAACTAACTTGAGAAATTCAATATGGAGATGTGAACGAGCGAGCAATACTGCTCAAACGAAATATTTACTACTTCCGACATGGATATAACAATATATTTATATCGATTTATCTAATATACCAATATATTTATATCGATTTATCTAATATACCAATATATTTATATCGATTCACTACGGGTGTATGTAGAAAATGAGTCCATCTATCGAATACACACATCCTTATTTATATATATGTATATAC